GTCTAGCAGAATTATTGATTAAACGTCTGCAATTGATAGCTAGACCATTACTAATGAGAACAAAGTGGAGGCATGCTATTTTGCATGCAGCAGCACTTGTGCCCATAAGGCCGACCAATTATCATGAATTCTCCCCATTACAATTGACTATTGGTCAAGAGCCAAACATTTTCCATCTTAGAGTTTTTGGATGTGCGGTGTATGTTCCATTTGCTCCACCACAACGCACAAAGATGGGGCCCCAAAGAAGGTTGGAGATATATGTTGGGTATGAATCTCCTTCAATCATAAAATATTTGGATCCTATGACAGGATATTTATTTAAGGAAAGATTTTATGATTGCCATTTTGATGAATCAGTATACCCAACATTAGGGGGAGAACATAAGTCGTTGGGAAAAGAGATAGATTGGAATTCATCATCTCTATCTCATCTGGATCATAGAACAAACCAATGTGAGCAAGAAGTTCAAAGAATAATTTATTTGCAGAACATTGTAAATCAGCTACCAGATGCATTAACTAATCTTCCAAGGATTACTAAATTGCATATTCCAGCTGTTAATGCTCCAGTTCGAGTTGATATCCCGATGGGACAAATTGTCAAGCCAAATGAGTCTAGAGCACATTTGAAGCGTGGTAGACCAATTGGTTCCAAGGATAAAAATCCTTGAAAAAGAAAAGGAATAAATGATCAAGATGATCATGGGTTGAAAGAAATTTCTCCAAATGAGACCCAAGTCATAACACATGATAATGAGGAGGTTCGAAATTTTGAAAACAATGAATTTCAATGAATATGTCTCAACGAGAAAGTTGTGGAACCGAAATAATGTTGTGATTGACAACATATTTACCTATAATGTTGCTATTTAAATAATGCAACAAGATGAATATTTTGAGCCAAAATCTGTTCACGAATGTAGACAGAGAAATGATTGGCCAAAATGGAAGGACGCAATTCAAGCTAAATTGGCTTCACTAGAAAAACGTGAAGTTTTTGGACCGATAATCTGAACACCTGAAGGTATCAAGCCAGTGGGGTACAAATGAGCTTTTGTACAAAAAAGAAATGAGAAAAGTGAAGTCATGAGATATAAAGCCCAACTCGTTGCTCAAGGTTTTTCTCAAAGACCTGGCGTTGATTATATGGAGACATACTCTCTAGTGGTAGATGCAATCATCTTCAGATATCTCATAAATCTGTCAGTTCATGAAAAACTTGAAATGCATCTAATAAACGTTATAACAACCTATCTTTATGGCTCATTGGACCATAACATTTTCATGAAAATTCGTGAAGCATTCAAAGTGCCTGAAGCATACAAAGATTCAAGAGAAACTTGTTCAATAAAGCTTCAGAAATCTCTCTATGGATTGAAACAATCAGGATGGATGTGGTACAATCGTCTGAGTGAATATTTGTTAAAGAAAGGGTACAAAAATGACACGATTTGTCCCTGCATTTTCATTAAACGGTTGGGGTCTGAATTTTGTAATAATAGCTGTGTACGATTTGAACATCATTGGCACTCGTAAAGAACTATTAGAAGTTGTTGAGTGTCTGAAAAAAGAATTTGAAACTCAATAGAATGATGAAGAGGTTCTTGGTGATGAAACTCCTTATCTTAGTGCGATCGGGGAACTAATGTACCTTGCTAACAATACTCGACCAGATATCTGTTTTGCAGTAAGTCTACTGGCAAGATTCAGTTCCTCCCCAACAAAAAGACATTGGAATGGTGTAAAACACATACTTCGATATCTTCGAGGGACCATGGACATGGGTTTATTTTATTCAAATGAATTCAAGTCAGAACTGATTGGTTACACAGATGCAGGGTATTTATCTGATCCGCATAAAGCTCGATCACAAACAGGCTATTTGTTCACATGTGGAGACACGACAATATCTTGGCGATCAATGAAGCAAATGTTGGTAGCCACTTCTTCAAATCATGCAGAAATAATAGCCATCCATGAAGCAAGTCGAGAGTGCGTCTGGTTGAGATCAATGACCCATCATATTCAAGAAATGTGTGGTTTTTCTTTGAAAAAGAATATACCAACCACAATGTACGAAGATAATGTTGCATGTATATCTCAATTGAAAATAGGATACATCAAAGGAGACTGGACAAAGCATATCTCACCAAAGTTTTTTTTCACGCATGATCTTCAACAAAATGGTGAGATAGAAGTTCAACAAATTTGTTCAAGCGATAATCTTGCTGATTTATTCACTAAGGCATTGCCAACATCAACGTTTGAGAAGTTGAGATACAAGATTGGAATGCGCCATCTTTGAGATATCAAGTAAAGTTTTCATCAAGGGAAGCGAAATACGCGTTGTACTCTTTTCCTTAACTATGGTTTTGTCTCAATTTGGGTTTTCCTGGGAAGGTTTTTAACGAGGAAACATTCAAAGCGTATTATGAGATATGTGTACTCTTTTTCTTTCACAAGGCTTTTTCCCACTGGGTTTTTCCTAGTAAGGTTTTAACGAGACACATAATCTATGGATATCTAAGGGGGAGTGTTGTAAATCCATTGTATATGTGGATAATCCATCAGAGTTATCCAACGATTAATTGGATTCATGTATTAGTGTTTCCAGTGTGATAAGATTTTATGGTGATATGAACCTTGATGATAACTATGTATAATTCCAAGGTAACCTTTGACTATGATATCTCAACACTATAAATAGAGATATCATTCACCATTGTATGACACACTTGAATAAGAAAATTCTCTCCTCTATCTTATACTTCTTGTCTTTTTCTTGTTACATTCTGAGCTTTCTTTACAATAATTATACCCTTTTTTTAAATTTTTGTTCTGAAAAAATTGACACGCTCATGTATTCAATGAAATGATTTTTTGTAGTTCGTTAAGTATCAAAATAATCAAGATAATATTTTTTCTCAGGCTAACATGATCAAGAGGACAGGAACTAATGTAGTTGCCATAAAAAAAAAGAAGTGAGTATGTTTGAAAATAACTACAAGCAGGGGCAGACCCACGTCGGGTCCGGGGTGTTCACACGAACACCCTCGGCAAAAAAATACACGATAAATATAAGGTAAATTTTCTATATTTCTGTAGATGCATTTATTTTTAACCCCCTCAATAACAAACAAAAATAGATGGCTCAATGGTAAGACCCATGTTAAGTTGCACGCCCAAGGTTTGAATCCCTACAACAACATCTTTTTTTTTTATAGTTTTAGTTTATTTTTTTTAAAAAAAATTAATTATGTTTTTCAAGCATTTTTTTATTTTTAAAAACGTTCCAAAGTGTGGTTTTAAACCCAAAAAAAATCAAAGAGCCCATTTCGAAAGACTTATTTAGATGTTTATATTTTTATTTTTCGAACCTCCTGAACAAAAATTGTGGGTCCACCACTGACTACAAGATCTTTATTTTCTTTCTAAAGGAGTAAAATCATGTATATAATTACTGATTTTGCATCAACTCTTAAATAAATCATTTTTTGGGAAAAATTTCACGCTTTATTTTTCATAAGAACCGACTACTTGTAGTCGGTATTCATATCAACATAGTTTTCATTCTATAAACATGGATTATTGATCTATTTTTTATTTATAGAAGTACACAAAATTGTTACACTTTTTTTAACAAACAATTCAAGGTGTAAAACGAAAATTTAATATCATTCGAGCAAAATTATGATTAGTAGGAACATTTTAAATAAATCGATCTTTGGATGACGCTTTTATTAAAAGTAATTAGATCAAATAAAAATACCGATATCATGAGATCGTCATTTTATATTAATTTATTTTTTAACTTATATAAAATTATAATCCGAAGGATGATTTATTTAATATGTGGAGAGAAAATTGTAGATGGGACTGATTAATTTTTAATTCTTTGAACCTTTTGTCTCTCAAATGAGTCTTGAATAGCCGTCAAGGCATAAAAAAGACGTCTATTTTAATACTTATTACGCTTGTCAGATACATAACAATATGCCCTATGGTACAAACCCTATTGAATAAAAGTATTTTTTAAATATCTTGTTTTAGAAAATATTTTTAAATGATGGATATTATTATATATTAAAGCTTTTGAACTTAAAAGTTCGTTCAATCCTTAACATAGATCACACTAAGTGGAGATTATAATTATAACTCCATTGAAGCCATAATTATTTTTTTTTCCTTAACTGATGATATTAGATGAATTATGCAAATTTGAATTTTTAAGATGAAAAACCTCTTGTTTTCTCAATGTTATAGAGAAAAACATCTCTTATTCGTACAAAAAAAGTATCAAGAACTATTATAGATGTGTATCTTTAATAGTAGAATATATTTAAAATCAATAAAACATTAATAAATATGTATATTTGACCAATTCATTTATAAAATTCTAACAAAACACTAAATACCTATTTTCAACCGGACACCCACTGTTGAAAAATTATATCGTATATGTAAGTAAAATGATACCCTAAATGAGTTAAATATTATATTTTGAACCCCCTTAGAATTCGATTTGATTTTTGATTTTTTTTTAAAATATAAAATTAATCTATATATAATAGGGGAAGTAAAAAGCGAAAAAAAAAGTATTATTTAAAATATATGTTTAAAAACTGAATGTAAGAAGAAAAAGAGTTACCATTAAAAAAAGTTAAAAACTTATTATATGAAAATAAAAATGTTAAACTGTGGATAAGTTGAAATGAGGTAGTTTTTTTTTCATTTTTTAAAAAATCAACTAAAACTCAATTTCTAAAACTGTTTATAAAAAAAATATTATTAAAGATATACTGTTCAAAACTGTGGATTTTCGAAAAATGGGGTAGGTTTGAAATTTCCCTAATTTATTCTTTACAAATTCTATCTATACTAGGTAGAGGTGGCCCGTGCAAGTACGGGCCCAACATTGGAAGATTTTTGTTTGTGTTAAATATAAACATATAGAATGTATGAGTCGAAGAGAGAGAGAGAGAGAGAAAGAGAGAGAGAGAGAGAGATGGATAGATATATTATATATATATATGAAATATGGTTGGCGGTTGTTTTGTTCGTTGTCATGGCTGTGTTATTTAGGTTGGATATGTACAATATTTACATAATGCTGCATTTTGACTATTAGTCAGCATCATTCAAAAAGCACCTGTAAATAAGATGGAAAATGAATTTAATATATAGTTATGAGGAGGAGTTAATGTTGAGTATAGTACTGGTTTGTTTAAAAATTTATCATTGGTTGCAAGATTTAATTACCTGTCAATTTCTTATAATTATGCAGCAGAGTCCATGCTATCAGCACCAAAAGTGTACGCCATCAAGACAAAATGGTGTTGCCAACCATATTGCAAAAAAGTATTACACTATAACAAAAGGAGAGTATCAAATGTTGAAGAAATACATATACAATAATCTATTTTAAAATTAATAGGACAAACAACATTTGTTGCTGCATAGCAATTGAGAGTCGTGTAGAGAGGATACCTTTTAGTCTTCTTTTTATTATGATTTGCTTGAGCTTGCGTTTACTGCTTTCTGGAGTTGTTGGTGCGTTGATGGGCAGTGGCAGATTGCTAACAACATCTTTCGCGATGATTGACATGATAAACAGTTTTGCTGAAGATGCGTCCTTGTTTTTGGCAAACAACTTCTTTATTTGGACGTTGAATTCTCACCTAGCAGTTTGTGTTGCACGGATACAAGTGACAACAGTTGTTTTTGAAAGATGGAAGAAACTCACTCAAAAACTAAAATACAAACATAACAATAATAAATAAAAAATACTAACATAATCATAAACACAAAGCTAAATCAAAACTGTATCAAATTTTAGATATTCAAAATGGAAAAGTGAGATTAAAATTGTTGGAGTTTTAAAACTCATTAAAATAGTGTAAAAAATAAAATATTTTTTTTAATGAATAACACCAAACAAAACAATAAAGTTCAAAAGAGATCAATATAGCTTGTCAAACCAATAATATTCACCAAGATAAGACAATCACCAAAAAAATAGAGCAAACAAACCAAATATAATGGAATGAAAACCAGTAATATAACCTATGTTTGTTCACTTCTGAAGTTCAAAAATTTACAAGAAAAATTAACAATATTGACAATAACAATACCAACACAACAATATCTCAAAAATGAACAAGCAAAGCTAATTAATTGAATTGGATTGAACTATTATATATACTTGAATGTCCTTGCGATAAGTGAATGAGAAAATAGGCAAAGGAATGCAAAAGAAGCCTTCAATAACAAGCATATAGTTTTTCATTAGATTTTGTCCAGTCACATGGATGAAAACTCATCAACTTCTTCATTGTTAGATTAAACATTATCCGCACACCCACCAAGGAGCAAGGAATGAGAGGTTGTAGAGTGTTTTACCGTGATGCAGCGTATGTCATGAATTTCTGCTACAGTTAGAGACAATAGTTCTTCTCCAATTTTATCTGAAATCATGGCTGTTGTTGAACCAGTATAATCCTTGATGGTTACTTCAAACTGGCATCTGGGCAAAATTCAATATGTTTATGTTCAATAATAGTTTTTTAAATTGGAAATTGTTATTTAGTTAATTATCTTTTTATAACCTAAAATATATTTGTTGCATACACTTTTACTAATCATTCATATCCTCATATGTTATGCAATCAAATATTTCTACCAAAACAAAGGTGGTATTTATATAACTTTATAAGAAAGTAAGGACGTCAGCCAGCGGATAATATCTGTTTATAGAAAGTGATTTTATATATCTCAGAGTCTTCTTCTTCTTCAATTTTATTTCCTGCTCCCAATAACCCAATTTAGTTGTCCATTTTTTCTTCTTATGGTTATCCCTAAAAGAGAATGTAATGCTATTTATAGCACTGATCTACAAAATATCTTCTAACTGAATTCTAACAAACTATATCAGCTCATGACAAAAGTGATTAACTAATGATAAGAAAAGAGAATTAATCTTATTAAGCATATCCAAAGGAATTTTGAACTAAATTTCATGTTACTTTGGTAAGATATCTTATTGTTTCTAGGTCAGCTTCCACAGATATAGTGCAAGTAAATACTTCAGAGTCTTTGTGCAAGCTGTATGAGTTGAGAGTTATACAAGGAACGTTTGCGTTTATATGTCAAATGTTGGTTCAGTGGTGAAGTAGCAAAGTCCTCTAGTCTTGAATAAAATTCCATTATCAAAACTTTGTTGTCTGTCTTTATCATGAATAATTGACTTCTAACAAATTCTAATAGTTAAGACTCTGGATTCAACAAAGTAGACTCCCATACAATGACAACTTAACTAAAGAGTAAAGATGGGTTCTTATTAATCTAATAATGAGTTGGATTTATTGAGTAGATGTACTGTTTTGAGAAAATGAAAACAACTTTTCATCCATCTTCCAACCAAAGGTAAAAAGGGTTGTCGAATTTTGTTGTAGTTATTTGATGTTTTCTCTATTTGTTATTTATTAAAGCATCCAAGAGTAAAATAACGCTAACTTATCCAATTTGTCTAAGCTTGAACAAACTAATTAATGCATGCATTTTACTTATCAAAATCATATAAGTAGTAGCAGAAACACTATAGTTCTAAAAAAATTATCTTGTGATTGTATAATCTCCAACCAAACACGGGATAAATTCATCCTAAAATTAATCAAAGTCTCACATGGGATAAAATCATCTTTACATATATACATATGTGAAAACTATGAAAGTTTAGCAATTGATATAAGGAATATAGATTTTGAACTGATGACTTCCAAAATATAGCTAAATCAGTGCAAAAAAATTAAAAAATTTAACGTACCAAATTTAAATTCAAGGACGTTATGGTTATGCAGTTATTGATCTTACTGATATGATTTTCATACCTTGGTGTGAGTTGTGTTGATCGACGGCAGGTTGTACAATAGAATGTTCTCTCTGTCCAAATCCTTGGAAATACTTGCTTGCAGTAAGAGCAGACTAAGACACAGAATTTTTAAGTTTCATTGGATATTAACAATTGAGCTTGCACGTGGAATACTTGCCCCTGTGCATACATATGAAATGGTAAATTATATTAACATTTTATTTCATGAAGAGATTTAAGATGTAGATGATGCATATACCAAAGATTGTTGCTGGATGTTGACAATAGGCACTATGTGTTCTTCAAATGGCACAAACAGGAGAGAGCCTGTAGCTGTGGTGCTTTTTGTTGTGTATGTGTTGAGAATCGATTTTATTTCATCAGACCTATATGTAAAAAATGTTAAAGATGTGAATATATTTATTTATTTATGGAGAGGTGTATTTTGAATACCATGTCTTTAATGAGATAGCTTGTGGGTATGGAGGATCAATCTGGATTATTGTACCAAATCTGTTTGAAAGGCATGCATATTGTTAAATTCATTGGTGTTAATTCGATTAATATGTGTTATAGGAGATATTGTTGTTAATATGTTTGATTTTACCTGAAGATGATTTTGATTTGGCCACTTTTCTGGCAATAATTACTGGAAATTCTTGAAGTTCTTTCAGATGTTTGAGAAGTTTATTTCCATATAGGTCAATGAATTCTTCCCAGAGAGTGAGTTTTGTTGGTTTCCTCCTATTTTCATTTTAAAAAAAAGATAAACAGTGTTATAATAGATCATAACTTACACAGATGCAAGCAAATTTGGGAAAAAGTTCATGAAAGAAAGTAAAGAAAAATGTGTTACAATTGTTGTATATACACAAATAAAATGAATATCATCAAAGTAGGATGCAACATTCCTACTGTTGTTTTCCAATTAGGATCAAAGAGAAAGCTGAAATTGCAAGACCTTGGTGAACACTATGAGATCCGTTATTAGGTTTGTAGTTTTTTTTAACTTTATAGGATGAATTTTGACCGGCAATTAGAATTACTCAACAACTTTAATAATTATTTATATTGTCTTTTTTATTCTGGTCCGCAATTATCATAGATCAAAAGCAACATCTTTCTGATAAACATTACATTAAAGTTAGGCTTACAAATGGTATAGTATTAATAGTGGTAATCAAGTAACATCTAAAATGCCAAATATGTAAAGGAGATGGTAAGCGGGGAGGGTAGTGGAACTGGTGGTGCTTGTGAAAGCTGAAAATGGAGGGGAGACAAATAGCTAGTATATTGAACTCATATTAGATAAAAATGTTGCCAAAGTAATTCATTCATCTCAAGTGATATTTACATACAGAAACTGCTAGATATTGGCACATGTTAGCAATAAAAAATTTTTACCTGAAGTTGATGATCCCTTGTCTTATCGAAGGGTATTCCTTTTGGTCATAAGTAGAAGAAGAATTCTGGCTAAACAAAGACATAGTAAGCATACTTAGATTGTTCAAATAGCTAGGTGTTCCCTTTTTTTTTAGAGAGCAACCTGTAGAATTGGCTAATTCTTCAATTAAAGTGGTTGGTTAGTGTTGTCTATGGGTCTTGGCATATTATATTTGTCACTCTTGAATACCAACAATGTGCATGACATTCCTTATAAGAATGAGCTTACAAGTTAACCATTAATATGTCGCCATAATCAAATTTGATAATATTGACAAACCTAGATCAAGTTTAATCAATCAATCAAATGGATAATCAAACATTAATAACTATAGTTGTGCTACAAGTTTAAGTACACTGCAATTAGATAAATCTGATATTTCAAGCTATTCAATAAAATCAAAATCAGAAGATCAACCCCATCCCCCATTCCCAATTCCATAGCATCCAGTTACTGATTTGCAAAGAAAATTAGAACAATCCATGCAATAATTTGAAACTTTTTATCAAAATGTGGTAACCAACTTATCTTTTTCTCCTTATTTATTTTTTTCTTTTCGCTTTTGGGAAGCATTATGAATGAAGAAATAGATGCAGCAGAAAACACAAATAGAATTGACTAAAGATCAAGTTTAATCAGTCAATCAAAAGGATAATGAAACATTAATAACTATACTTGTGCTGCAAGTTTAAGTACACCGCAATTAGATAAAACTGATATTTCAAGCTATTCAATAAAATCAAAATCAGAAGATCACCCCTATCCCCCACTCCCAATTCCATAGCATCCAGTTACTGATTTGCAAAAGAAATTAGAATAATCCATGCGATAATTGGAAAATTTTTATCAAAATGTGGTAACCAATTTTTCTCTTATTTATTTTTTTCTTTTCGCTTTTGGGAAACATTACGAATGAAGATATAGATGCAGCAGAAAACTTTGCGAAATTGAGTGAAATTTTAGATCCTTAGATCAAGCTATATACCATGGTAAGGTAACATTCAAATAGAATTGACTAATTCTTCCATTAAAGTGGCTGGTTAGTGTTGTCTATGGGTCTTGGCATATTATATTTGTCACTCTTGATCAAGTTAATCAGTCAATCAGAAGGATAATCAAACATTAATAACAATAGATGTGCCGCAAGTTTAAGTGCACCACAATTAGATAAATCCGATATATCAAGCTATACAATAAAATCAAAATCAGAAGATCAACCTCATCCTCCATTCCCAATTCCATAGCATCCAGTTAGTGATTTGTAAAGGAAATTTGAACAATCCATGCGATAATTGGACACTTTTTATCAATATGTGGTAAACAACTTATCTTTTTCTCCTTATTTATTTTTTTCTTTTCTCTTTTGGGCAACATTATGAATGAAGAAGTAGATGCAGCAGAAAACTTTGCGAAATTGAGTGAAATCTTAGATACTTAGATCAAGCTATATACCATGGTAAGGTAACATTCAAATATGAGATGCTTGCAATCACAGAGAAGCGAATTTTTTTTAAAAAATTTACTTTCCAAGAAAGAGGGTCAATAAGACACCTAGATCAAATTTGCACCTTCAACTTTGACGAAAAGGAAGATGACATCACTATTCATTAATAAAAAAATCCAGTTATTTGACACAAGCACATAGAAAACAGAAGGATATAAGATGAAAAGTAACATTGTACTTACTCATAGTCAATGATGATGAATTCTTGAATTCTGCTTCCGTTTGAGGCATATGATGGAGGACTACCATTTATCACGAGGGCAAGAATGTCTTGCAAGAATTAAAGAGTTATTAGTAAGTGGTAATAGTTATGAAAAATGAATTATATGTCTGGTAAGTATACTTTAAATATATTTTGAGAAATACTGAATTCAAAGCCTATAGCTTGATAATCGAAACTGTCAAACGATGTAGTTTTTAGCAGCGTTGGTGGCAGCAATGGTTCTTCAGGGGGTATGACTTTATCTATTGGTTCAACAATTGTGCCCTTATCAATTTTCCAGCTGAATTGATGAAGAGGTATTCCATACGCCTTGATTGACTCAGAGACAAATGCCCTTGATAGCAAATATGTTTGGAAAGGAACAAACTCATTTGCATAATGTGCGATATCAGTACCGTGCATGATAACTTGTATTTGAGTTTCCTATGAGAAATTTAATGAAATTAGAATAATATTAGGTACGTGAAATAACATATAGTTGGTATAAAAATTCAAAAGTGGTTTGAATTGTTGAGAAAAGTTTCTTTTACGGGAAATATAAAATTTAAAGGATATGAGTATAAGGGGAGCTTTTGCCATGGACATGATGGTTTAATCAACAGAATGAAGGCTACAGTAAAATATGTAAGTACTGATTTTGTAGATAATTATTTAAGGAACACAACAGCAATAACATTAAGCAACACTTTTAGCAGAAAAATTAATTCTGAAATATTAGTTCACATATTTATCAGGTTTTTCTATGCGTTTACAAAATCAGTTGAGGAAGACATTTTTTATCGAAGTCTCCGAAAGCAGTTGAGGAAGACATTATTTATCCTCCCTCATTATCTGTATAATAATATTTCATTTACTCTATAATCTTCAGCACTGTCGTTCCTAAAAATTTGCATGTGATTTTGCTTAAAAAAACAATTCAATATCTTAAATGCACTGGTATCCGCTCAGGTTCCAATTTAATTTTTTTCTATATTTTGCAAGAAAATCAATAGCATTGAACCCAAACAGTAACGAACTTCTCTATAACACAAATTATTGTCGCGCCCCATTTTCGCAGAAAACGGGTTTTGTGCACGACCTAACAACTCTTTTGGTATTTTGAGTTTGGAGTCGCCACCTAACGAATTAAGGCGCGTTAGGGCACCTATCTAACCTAACTAAGTCTAACTAAGGTCAACAACCAGAGAATTAGGGTAAGGGTTCAAATTACCTCGAGGGGAAGGTGTTAGGCATCCCTCGAGGTCCACAAGTGTGGGTCCCGGCCGTATCTCATGCAATCTATGTGGGGGTTACAATTAGCAAAAAAAGTCACTTCATTTAATAGTTTATTTAATCTTGCTAAGTGATAACAAATACAAAACAATTAATACTATTTTTTATTAATTTAAGCATGCAAGGCTAGGTGATAGCAATAAATAAACAATCAAGTTTTATTTATATTTAAGCATGAGACTAAGTTATAAACAAAATTTATAAATATTAAACAATTAATATGTGAGAAAGTAAGGTTTTGAAAATTGAGCAAGTTTTGAATATGAATTTTTATTTTTAAAAAAATGTTTGTTTCTTTATAGGGATGATGCCACGATATTATTGATCGCGCTCCTCCACCATAGAAACAATTTTGATTTGAGGTCGGTCTAAAAAATAGTTATGTTTTGAAAAATGATTTAAAAGATTTAGTTCACACGTAGGCACATAAACATTTACATATAAATGCACATAATTCTTTTTGAAATTTATGAGTAGGTGGTACTTCCGAGGATGCGTCGGTTTAAAAATTGGAACTAGACCTCATAGTTCCTTTGACTTTCCCACTAACGATAGGTTAGGAGATAGTACTTGTAATTTATTTAAAAAATAATGTCATAATCAATCCAAAATTTCAAAGGAAGATTGAATAATGACTTTTATGTAAACTAGTAAAAACATTAAGGTAGTAAATTTATTAAATGCTAAGGTTTTGATATGCAATATTCAAAAGCCAAGTAGTTTGTTAAATGCATAAAATGACTTTAAATTATTATCACTATTTTAAGGAAACAACATATTGCGTCATAAATGCGAAAATTGTCAAGAAAACAAATAGGATTACTAATCAAATAATATTAACTAATTTTAGAGGGAAGGGCACAAATATGCACGACCGAATTTTACTATCTTTTAAGGATATGTTAAGAGTTTATTTACAAGCCTGTAGACATGATTTCTAGGTGTTCAAAAAAAAGTAACATATATATGCCTAATTTTGTAAATTTAAATGTTATGAACAAATTAAACCTTAGACATAGTTTCTACATGACAAGATGATGCTAAATCTAATCAGCCTACTAAATTATTATGATTTTATTTTAACATTAAAAAAAATTAATGGAATCTAATTTATTATTATTTTTTAGACTTATTGACAAAGCATCAAGCAAATTGAAAATTGATTAGATTATAACACCTATAAACATTAAATTTAGGTGGTTAAAGACAAACCTATAGGCATGATTTCTAATATATATATATATATATATATATATATATATATATATATAACGAACAAATAAGCATATAAATCCCCCTCCCCTAGACGACCCCCAAATAAATTTATTATACGATCTTTAGGGTTACAATTGTTACAACATTCGAATAAATAAAATAGCGAAAAAAATAAAAAATATAGATATATATACATTCAAAAAAATAAATAAATCCTTCTTCAGTTAATCTTCAACTTGAACTTCAAATATGAAACCTAAAGTTTGGCCTTATGCTTTATTAATTGTCATTGCAAAACACAATCGTATTGGAAATTGTATCCTTTTAAATCGTAGAGGTAACTTTTCATCTTCTGATGTTAGTAGTGGTATTCTAGGAATGAATACATGTGTATTTTTAAAATCACCATTAGATATTGTGGCGCTGATAACGTGTGATCTGAAATCATTACATATTAAACGTGTACCATTGCATAATCCTTCACAGGGATTTAGATTTCTTAATAACATAATTGGACAATTTTTTTAACGTTAATTTGTAAGGAGGTAAGCCAACGGGATTCAAAGTATGCAATAAGTCTTCATATTCACTTTGATCATTTGGATCCATGGTCTCATCGGTAGCTAGATATGTTTTTTCAGTAGTTTGAAATTGAGTGATTAACATATCATTTATTTCGTCAACAAAATCATTTTTTGTTGTTAGAATAGCACGAGAAGTGATGAAAGAAAGATTTGAGTAAGAGGTGTGCAAATTCGGATAAGTAACTTTAAATAAAAGATTCAATGAATCTTTTTCATTCTCGAACGGTATGATTAAAGAATGAGGAATTTGAATTTTTCCTTTGTAAAATTTTTTTTTGATTCCATTACGAATTTTCATTAGGTATTCACAAAAGGTTGGATCTGTTTTTGCACGCATGTTTTCTAGCAACTGTAATTTTTCAAGTTGATTCCAAATTTGAGAGCATAACAGACTTTGATTAATGAAGTTTTTCTCTTTTTCCACTACGAACAATAGGAAGAGTTTGCCTGAAATCCCCACTAAAAACAATAACTTTTCCACCAAATAGTATTCTTGTTTCCATTAAATCTTTCAAAAGTAAATCAAGAGCTTCAACTACTTCTTTTTTTTCCATTGAAATCTCATCCCATACTATAAGTTTTGCATCACGGATTAAAGATGCCAGAGAACTTTGTTTACTAATGTTACAACTGAACTTTCCTTCGATATTTATTGAAATTTTAAAACGGGAATGAGCAGTGCGACCACCTGGAAGCAGCGAAGCTGCTACACCTGAACTTGCAGTTGCCAAAGCTATAAATCCTCTATATCTAACTGTTGCTAATAGAGCACGATATAAAAAGCTTTTACTAGTTCCTCCAGGGCCATCTATAAAGAATGCACCTGATTTATGTGAAAATATTCTTTCTAAGATTATATTGTAAGCCCTTTTTTGTGCAGTGTTTAATTTATTTTGTAGAAGCAGATCTTCTTCACTCACAGTAAGATTTCTTTCATAGTAAGCATATGTAGCTTCTTTTGATAGTGCAGATGCTTTAATTAATTCAGGAATTAGTTTAAATTCATTAATATCACGACCAAATGAATGAAGAATATCATTAATATGTGTTAACACCCTATAACGAATTTCCGTTGTATTAATGTTTGGAATTCTCATAAAATCCTCTAATAAGGATATTTCAAATTTTTCCCATAATTCTTTTGGATTACTTGGGCTACAATATATCAGTAACATAGCAAACAAATGTCTAAGACTTGCTGGCATTTGATAATCTGCAGCGTCAGACATACATTCTATTAAATTATTATCTGAAAGTAATAATCCTCTTTTTTCAGCTGCTTCTCTAAATGTTGTACATAATTTTCCATTAACCGTTAGCAAGTCTTCATATGATTTTGGTCCTCTTATGTTCATTAAAAGTAATCTAAGGTAGTATCTTTCTTCTTCGGTAGGATGACAAGTGACAACACGTCCAATAGCATTTCCACGCTTACGAATTGTCCACATTTTATCTGTTTTTGACCAGGCAAAATATTCAGGAAATTCTCGATATAATAAGTTTAAACTTTTAGCTGTATGATTAACTGTGTTCATTACAAAAATTCAGTTAACATTGTTTTTTGAGTCATTGGATTATTTATAATTTTACTAATATTATCAATACTTTTGAACGAAACAAGTTGTTGTCCATTAAGATGTAGTTGAAGATGGTATACATTAGGAGACATTTCATTGATATTAAAAGCAAATATACGCCATGCTGCTTCAGGCGCGGAAACCCATCTAGCTGATTGATATTCTTTTATCTCATCAACTTCTATATTTGTATCATTAGTATGAATTTGGAATGCGATTTTATCATGTCCTTTGCATATGTATTTATAGATGTATTTAACTGCTTTAATAGCTGAACAAATCTGTACGTTTATATGACAATTATATTTGGATAATACAAAGGAATTATAAGGGACAACCCATGAATTATTAAGAAGATGTTTTCTAATCTCCACATAGTTTCCTGTATGGCGTCTTCTATAAATAGGATATGAACTTTTTCCTTTTGTCATTTCATGAGCAAGCTCATTTGGATACTTAAATTTACAATATCCTTTTTTCATACAGGGACTTGTTGGATTTAGTTCACCGCAAGGTCCATGAATCATGTGTTGTGTAATGAGTGAATATAGGTGAGGATTTCCAGTAGGATTTGGTAATTCTGCAGAAACAAATCTATCATAGGCTTCAGGTGTAAGTATTTTGAATCATTCATCAAGTATAATTAGAAAATGAGCATGAGGAAGTCCTCGTTTCTGAAATTCTACTGTGTACATATATGTCAAGAATTTACCGAATATGTGTTTCTTTAACAAATCCTTTTTTAGTTCCTCTAATTTTGCACGAAATACTCGGCAAATTAAATCGGGTCTATTTTGTGCTTCATCAGTTGCTAGAAGATTTTCTTTGATCTCTGGCCAAGAGGGGTTACATGTAATGGTTAAAAATATATCAGGTCTCCCAAAATGTTGAACCAATGCAATTGCATCCATGTATCGTCTACGCATATCTCTTGGCCCTCCTGTATAGCTAAGTGGGAGAAATTTGTGTTTACCTACTTGTGAAGCATTTCTTTCACCCCGTCGTAAAACATCTAGCAATCCTCCTAATACATCTGTTCTATATAAATCCGGATTGAAAGAAGCAAAATCTAATCGTTGAGTTTCAATTTTTATCCATTGGTCAACAGTGTATTGTTGAAACAATCTTCTTGAATGTAGAATTATATTTTCATCATCTCGCATTTGAAGTTGATAACAATAATATTCACGATAGGAGACACTATTTCTTTTACGTTTTCCTTTTTGCATAACTTCAGCTTCTATATCAAGAAATCCATCAATTGTAGTCATATTTGTTATGCTTGGTAATTGTTCATTTTCACAATATTTTTGTCTAGAAGAAGAAGCACCTAAAGGTTCAATTTTCTGAATACCACAATGCCATCCATTTTGACCATATGGAAATAACAGTGGATACTGCAATGGATCATAACAACCGTAATAATAATTTACCAATTGACTCCTATTGCTATTTGTATATACACGAATATGAGGGGTGAGTGTATAATTTTGAGCATCTCGCTCTACCCATATTCCAGCAACTTCTGATGCAGTTGGTAAGTTGTACACTCTTTGATCTAAACCAGCATCGGATTTTAGAGCAATGTAGAAGTTAGATAATTGTGGAATATTTATTAGTGACTTTAGTAATATGGAGTATGGATTAGCATTTAATATTTCCATCAGTTTTTGTACAGTACCTTCATTCAGTTTGCTTGAACATTCTAATCGATTCCTCAATTCATTTTCACTATCAAAGAAATATAATTGTAAATTTCTTCCTTTCTCAGTAGCTGGTACTAAGTCATCTATAAAGTGATACATTTTTCCTTGAACTCGAAATGTGGATATACCTTTATATTTTTTTGCTAGTTCTTTGTCATAACTAACTCCTAGAGATGTGAATGCAAAAATGTTATTGTAAGTTTTTATATAAGTGCGAAACTGTTTAGATTCATTCGTATTTCCTAAATATAGGTTTCTTACAGTTGGCGGTGTTTGATGCGAAATAAGCCGCACAACACCATTGCCACAACAAAATGCTGGCGACTCATACTCAAATCTTTTTGCAGTGCAGAATTTACACCGGGAAACATCTTTTAAGGTAGCATAATTTGTCATCGGTTGGATGATTTCCATGTAATTAATTTCTGTTGAACTATATCCTTCATAATGTAGTTAATTCTTAAAACTAATTTTAGTAGATAAAGATTATTTAGAATATAGTCTATCTAGCTATTTTACCTCTATTAAGAGTTTGCTCATGAGTAGACAATGTGGTGGTGCTGGAGCTAGCACCGATGGAGGCACTATTCTCGATGGCTAAGTTTGCCCATCTGCCAGCTAGATTGACATCTTTCTTATTGGATTGTGCCAGTTTATATAATTCACGCTGTCTTGCTTTTTTATCAGCGTGAGCTTTTTTAGTATTCAGATAATTTCTATTACTTTTGTCTGACATTTGTAGAACTGTTATCTATCCTGAATATGAGATATAAATTATATGTTTACTTTTGTTTTCTTACTCATGCATAAAACAGTTCAAAATAATTATAATAACCCAAATTACATGCGTAAAAAAATTTAAAATAATTATAACAAACCAAATTATTCTTTGCAGAATTTTGTAAAAATGCAGTAAATTAATACAGAAGGTAAAAAAAACCCCATAATAACGGGTGGAAAAGAAGATACCTGTAGCGCCGAAACTGCAGTAGTAGTAATTGCAAATTCCTATCTTCACACTGCACGCAAAAACTAATTGTAAAAGGAATTTAGTATTTTCAACAAGTTGTATCTATCAAATATCATCTCTAATAGTTCATCTCAAGCGTATGATATTAGTGTAGCCATATGAATATATGAAAGCTTAGACAAACAAAACAATAGACTTATTAAATTTAAATACTCGAATGAAAATATTAGTATCAATCGGTAAGTCATAATGGCATTGTTAGTATATTATAGTTTGTATGAGCTCATAATCAGTATAGTTGCTTTTGGTAGATTTGATAGAATTTCTCTGATGAGGATGCTTAAGCTCTTTTTAAAGTGGGGAGAAACGGAAAACATATGATTTATATCTTAAAGAAGTAGGAGGCTTAGCTGTTGTTACACTTAGAAAAGGTAAACCGAATTCAATTAAGACATCTATTATGAGTAGTTATAAAAGGTAAACTAACTCCATTTAGAAAATATATTCATGTTTTCCAGCAAAATACATTGGCAAAGTTTTAAGTCCTAAACACAATGGCCATACTGCCTATAATATTAATACCTAAATTTGTGTATTTGCGTTGCTCTTAAATAATCGATAAAATTCAAATCGTATATAATAATGTGAAGTAATTGAAATACGTATAAAGCTAACCGACAATTGGCAATATTTTTATGAACGAAATGAGAAGTAGGAACAGGTGTGGTGGATGATGTGTGTGTACACACTAATTAACCCCAACCAAGGCAGGAAGAGTGGGTTGTAGCCATAGCCATGGAGAATTCCTACTTATTGTCTCTCTTTTGGTGGGTAACTATTGAGTAAGTTTTATCTGATATGAAAGTACTGCTAACATGTAGAGTTCCTCGAAAGACTTTTTTCTACTGCTAAAATTCGTCATGTTACTGTCAGTCATTCCATTTATATGCAATGATGATACCTTTCCAGAAATGTTATTTAATGCAATTCTATCTCTAAAATATTACATACTATTTACTATACTATGATCTATAATCTATAGCTATATCTATATCCTACAACAAATGTCATCTTCTTTTTTCTCTAACTTTTCTCTCAACTCGATTCTTGAATGATTTACAATCACTTTTACTTCTATATATCTTACTTTAAAATGTTCAATTTTCTCACATTACTCTGCTTTACCATTTCCTTATCAATTCTTGCTTCATCTCAACTTGATGAATTCATTTGCACAAAATTTAATCAACCAAATAAGGACAAAACCTTAAGTGGAGTAGCCAAAATAAGCCAAAATGGGTTTATTCAATTAACAAATGACACAAGTAGACTAATAGGACATGTTTTTTACTCTTCACCTTTCCACTTCGAGCCTACTACTAATGCCTCTACCTTCTCTTTGTCAACGTGTTTTGCGCTGGCCATAGTCCCCGAGTATCTAAAACTCGGGGGCCATGGCCTAGCATTCACAATTTCTCCATCAAAGGACTTTAGTACCGCTCTGCCGAGTCAGTACTTAGGTCTGCTCAATGCTACTGATATTGGTAACTTCTGTAACCATATTTTTGCTGTTGAATTCGACACAGCACGTGATTTTGGGTTTGGTAATATTGATGATAACCATGTTGGTATTAATATTAACAGCCTAGAGTCAAATAAATCAGCTGCAGCTGAATATTTTATTAACGATCAAAATTCGAAACAAGATTTGAATCTTAAGAGTGGGAAATTCATTCTTGTTTGGGTTGAATATGATTATGTTACGAAATTAGTTAATGCAACTCTTTCACCTAATTCCTTAAAACCAAAAATTCCTCCGTTATCTTATAAATTTGACGTCTCTTTAATTTTTAAAGAAAATATGTATGCTGGGTTCTCTGCTTGTACTGGTTTGCTTGCTAGTTTGCATTACATTCTGGGTTGGAGTTTTAAGTTAAATGGAGAAGCAACGTTACTTGATTTGGATTTCAGTGAATGGAGGCACAAGTCTTTGATAGGCTTATCAGTTTGTCTTAGTCTGCTTGACTTTAGAGAATCTTCTAGTAATGCTACAACACCATAGATGCCACTTCTTGAAAAATAATGCATATGGCTCATTATTAAATCACAATATGATAAGTCATTATTGGCATACCAATCGAGTTTAATTTCTATACGTTGACATAATAATATCTTCTATACATTATAAAGTCACTAGTTGAACAGAAAGACAATGTTCAACATTATACTCTTAGTGGATATAAATTAAATCCATACTAATATCATCTGGCAGCTCCTAGTGTGAAGTCACAATATTTCCCCTTTTAACAAGATTACTGTAACAAATTAAGAAGAAGGTACTATAATAGGAAATACATCACAATCACTGGAGACTTCAGGTGGGAAAAAATCACCATTCACATGTAAAGAGAGAAATGAAAAGGTGTCATAATTAATTGATCTTTATTAGCAGGGGGGAAAGTTGCCTATATAAGGCCAAATTTATGGTATGAAAACATTTAATTGAGTGGTCACGGGGTTGCTGTAAGGTATTCGTTATGATCTATTTGGTCCCTCAGCTTAATATATATGCACATGTTCGCAGATGGTTTTTTTTTCCTATTATATACTCAATCATTTTTGACAAAGACATTTGTGGCTCTATCACAGAATGATTGCTGGAATTTGTATTTGTAGGATATCCCATGGATTATGAAATATAGGTAGTAAACAAGAGAAGAGCTGAAGTTAGTTTTTTGACATGACAGAAATAACATATAATTTGAGAAGGAAACAACTGACTATTACGCGATGCGATTTTTTCACTAACAAACAATTAGACATCAATTCCAAACTAATTGAAGTCTATATGAATCCCCTGTATATGTTACTCTCACTTTATGCTTTAGTTCATGGAAATTGTATAGTCATATATTAAAGCTTTGCGAAAATATTGAAGGGCAACATAAAACTATCCTTAAAACCACTATTCCACTATCCTCTTGCATCTTTGAACACATCTCAATTGACTAAAGGCTTAAGCAAACTCTGCCAGCTAAAAAGTCATAATGTAGTAGGGATGTAGACAAATATATAACCATAACATAATTACAAGTATATATTAGGAAAATGATGCTAATAAGGAGAGATGGGCTGCTACACCTTCTGTATTCACACCAAGGGGAAAAGAGAAACATCTGATACTCTTTTAGCCGTATAAATGGAGAGGACATGGTTATGCAATCTTATGGGAAAAGGTTAAATCTTGTAATGTAAGGGAATCAGAAATGTGACTCAAAATCAATTATCAAAGAAGAAGTGATTAGATTAGTTGTATATACTTGGAGAGATGATCAAGTATCTGGAATTGGTAAAAAGGGATTGAAGAAGACTTCAGTAGAACACTAGAGAAATAAAAAAGACTGGCAAAATTCACTGACATCAACTTAGCTTATTGTATGAAGATGCCTGATAATTGACTTTCATCTTTTTGACACATAGTCGTTTAAGAATGGGCAACATGGAAATGTTAAACTTATGTTCGACACTATAAAAGATGCTTCATGCAATATAGCAGGACATGTATGTAAGTTCATCTCAATGATGTTCTAAAAAGTTACTGTTAAGATTCCCTCAAAAAAAATTCCAGCACAAAGGAGTAAATGTTGCTTAGTCTTATTTGTCCATAATTTTGTTGTGATTTGCAGCATTTAATTTACTAACTTATTTTGGGTGAATAAACTTAATTCCTACAACCTACATATTTCTTTCTATTCTGGCATATATATATATATAAATATTGTATGACAAACTCGCCTAACATTTGTATATATAAATAATGGCTCGTGCTTCATTTACAAATGCAAAATATGGTACACATATACTCTAATATGATATGAAACATTGGATATTCACATATTGTACTTGTGTTTTTGTGCCACTAAATATTCAACTAACATATTGTAAGATGTTAGTTGTATGTTTTAGTGTTGGGAAATATTCCTCCCTACTCCAGCAATGACTTACAGAAATCAAAATCAATTAGACTATTATTATAAGTGAAGGTAGATTAAAGTAAGTTGAGTAATTAGTGAAATTGAAAGTTTAGGTATGTAAATAGAGACATAAAAGACACATGTTGAGGAAAAGTTGCCCCTTCATACAAGAGATGGCCACTTCTTTGGGCACTTATGATCTTCCAAAATTCTGCAGGTGGTCTCACTTGAAGATGGTCCACTGAGGTCCATTTGGAAAGATATAGGAGTTGCAGTCATAATTATGAACACCGATGGGCATACAAAGATCTCCTTATATTGGCTAAAGTATGTATCTCTTTACCATTTTCTAATTATTGGATAACTTTTGATTAATGTTGGTGATTACTGATGGAAGAAAACTTGTTGTCCTTGTATTGACTTCTCAGTTATTGTTTGTTTTGGATTCAACAGTTCAATTGTTTTGATAATATGCGTATATAATTTTTTAATTACTATTGATGTAAAATATTGATCGGAAAAAATGCATATAGCAGCTCAACTAAGAAGAAACAATACATGAAAATAACCTAAAACAGAACATAAAAGCACAAAGTTTGAATCTTTAAACTCAGAATCAATAAAGTAACCCCAATATTAAACCAACAAATCAAATTACCAACTCACCAACTACACAGAACAAAACAATATGAAATTAAACCCCACCATCAAGTCAAACGATGAACTGAAACCATAATAAGAAAGAGCTCATACCTTTATCAAAAAATCATGAAAGGCCTTTGGGATTAAAAGGGTCTCTGCAACAATGAATTCAAGAACAAGAACACATTTTACACAGTGCAGATTTGTGGTAAATTAAAAAAGTACAAAATTATCTGCAGCACATAGATTGAGGAAAAAGAAGGAAAAAAAAGGGTCCTAAGAATCAGGATGAATCAATTATAAAATGAAAATTCTCACACCACATAATCTTAATCTAAGTCGTATGTTTTTGGAGGATCTTCAAGAGCTACACTTACAACAGTGAAGGAGAAGAAAATCATATACCCAAAATGGAGACAATCAGGAAGAATTTTGTAGCTCAAATACATCCTGATTAAAAGACAACCAAAATTTACTGCATGTGAAAATATATGGGTTTTTCATATGTGAACAGAGGAAGACAACCAGAAATTTGAATTGGAAGACCAAACTAACACTACATCTGACAAAAGAGAACCAAAAGTTACTGCATGTGAAAATACATAGGTTTTTCATCCATAAAGAAAAGAAGACAACCGTAGAGCACTAAGTTAAATTATTTTATGGCCTTTTCTTTGGTGATAGAAGATCGAGAATTCTTTAGTAAAGGCATGTCTTAAGCCCACTCGGGACGGGAGGTTTTTCAACTATTATTACAGCTCGTACAACCATTTTTGTATTCTAATTTTGGTATTGAAATGCATTCAGTCAAGAAATTTTAGGGTTATTCACCAATTTCATTTTGGTATGTGAACACTAAGTTTTACTTGTTGAATGTGAAGACTTATTTTCTTGGATATTTCTCTTTTGTTTTTGTTTTACAAAAAAATGATGGATCCAAACCAATCTGTTCTCAGCAAACTCCCTAATACTGTAATTGATGAGATTCTTATACGTTTGCCTTTTCGAGATGTTGTCTGCACAAGCATTTTGTCAAAGGAATGGAGAAAACATTGGTGTAGACTTCCAGAGCTTACTCTTGATTCCGACTTTTGGAAACTTAAAAAGGACCTTACAGGTGATAAAAGAGCTACCAGTAACTTTACAATGACTATCCGCATCAATAACAATTCCAAACGAAAAAATAAGTGAAAATTTTACACACCCAGATCAAATTTGGAACTTGAACATCGATTGAAAGGAAGATGAAGGAAAACGAAAGTTTAAATTTGACATGTAAAACGTTACCAAGAGAAGGATGAAGAGAGTAATTTCCATGTGCAAATAGGGAATCATTATAAATGAAGAATCAGGAGGAAGACATAGGAGGAGGAGGACATGCATTTCCATTTTACCAGAAGAAGACACGTTAGCTGAGAAAATGAAAAGGCAAAATTGTTTAACAAAGAGAAGACAACTAGCCATATATTTAATTGTAAAGACTAAAATAACCCTTGAATAACAAAGAGAAGATAGCTAGCCATATATTTAATTGTAAAGACTAAAATAACCCTTGAATAACAAAGAGAAGACAGCTAGCCATATATTTAATTGTAAAGACTAAAATAACCCTTGAAGCAAGCATTGTAAAGACCAAAATAACTTTGAAGCAAGCATGTTGATTATGCCTTTAAAAATAACCTTGAAGCAAGCATGTTGATTATGCCTTTTCTAATATAAGAAGTAATAACATGTCTTATTTTTATTAATAGACAGAAAAGTCTACCAATTTTTTTTAAAAATGGATATCACGTTCAATAAAAAAAATCTCAAAATTAGCCCCAAGAAAATATATCCATAATTAATTCAAAATTTAAATTTTAAATAATATTCTCTCTGTCTCTATTTACTTGTCCATATTTTCTTTTATATTTGTCCTTATTTACTGGTCCATTTTAACAAATCAAGAAAAGACAATAATTTTTTTCCTAATATGCCCTTATTTAATTTTAGAAAATTTGTAATACAACTAAGTTGTAATGCATGCATGCTTTTTGGAACCAGAAATACATTTATTATACTTGGGGAGTTGCATAATATTTTATGTTAAATGGTAAAATTATGCCTAATCTATGATAATAATTGGTGCCTTAATATGTGTGTCACTTCTAAAGTGGACAACTAAACAGAGATAGAGGGAGTATCTAACTTTATTGCTAAAAAAAAACTCAATTTCCCAACCAACATCTTTAAAAAAAATTATTATTTTTTATAACATCATTCACATCTTTACAAATCAAAATATTCATAAACGAATCCAAACATTTGTAGTACTTGAATATTGAATGTTCAAATTGACGATAACAATAACGGTAAATTAAATTTAAAAATATTATAACAAAAAATAAAATAAAACAATTAACGAAAAAAAGAAGAAAACTTTAATAAGGATAGTTAAAAGTACGTAGGTAATATTTTTTTTATAAAAAAAGATAGAATATGATTTAAAAAAAATGAAACTAAACCTAAAATTCTATATCCACTTGCCTAACTACTGTAATCTCTCAAAACTCAATTTAATCTTTTACGAAAAATAATAGTATCACCTTTAACATCACATACAAAAAATAATTTTTTGAATATTTTTATAAAAAATAATATTTAAATCTATAGTTTAATTTTAGAAATATCATCAAATGTATTCGAGTTATCATTTTTCTTAAAAAAAGAATGAATTCAAAATAGTCTTTATGATTATTCCAAAATTATATATTTGAATAAATGTATGAAAATTTAGGATAAGAACCATCTCCTATTATATTTTTTAATTTCAATTTAACTGCAAAGAAGTATCCCCTATTCCATTTTTTAATAATCATGTAAACTAAATTGTCATAGCATAAAATCATATTATTATAGCCTTTTATCTTTATAAATAAATAATAATAATTAAAGCCAACACTAAATTGTACTTACAAAATAGAAGACATTTGAACAATTTCATGAATAAATGACATATCTACTATACTAGATATTGCGATTAAAAATGAAATAAAATGGATTAGGTTCACATTATAAAAGTTAGGATTTTGATTAGTGAGAACATATACAACAAACTTAATTTTTGGTGTAATTATTATTTCTTTAGCAATTTAACATGCTCTGAAGATTTCAATGTAATGAATAATGATAAAAACGAGATATTTTTATCATAAACTAATTTTTTTTTCAGATCATAGAATCTAGGGGTAGATTTGATCAAACTTTATTCATGTATAATGATGAATAATTATTTAAAAAATAAATAGATTTTAAAATTAGGTGTAAATATCTTTAATTAGCGACTAAAATGTTTAATCAGTGGCGGACTCGAGACTTTTGTTTAGGGGATTCGAAAAATAAAAGTATAAACGTGTCAATAAGCATTCAGAAATGGGAACCTTAAATTCTTTTAGGTTTAAAATCGTAGTACTTTTAGCACATTTTTTAAAGTAAAAAAGAGGGACTTGTCACTGCGCCATCAGTTTCTCTTCATTATTGAAATACAAAAAATCTATCTTACGTATATCGTGTAATTTTTTATCGAGGGGGTTCATGAAGCCACGTGGGTCCACCGTTTGGATTCAACAGTACTTTTCATCATATATCATAAAAATCAATGATTGTTTCCAACATATGACATAATATATTCGATATTTTTATAAAAATGTCATTGTTTTAGTGACATTTTCAATATATGTCGATTGAATCAACAACATTTTACAATAAATGTCATAATATGTTAGACATTTGTATTAAATAACGCTATTTTCTAGTAAATGTCATAATATATTCGACAATTACATTAAATGTCGCTATTTAAGCGATATTTTTTTAAATGTCACTAAAAATAACATTTTGTAATAAATCTCATATTATATGTACCATTGGTAGCAAATGTCATCATATATATGACATTTTCGCTAAATGTCACTAAAACAACGATATTTTACAATAAATGTCATTATCACAGTGATATTTCAGACTAGATGTCATTTTTTTCACGATATTTGATACCAAATGTCATTGTTTTTATGACATTTGACATCAAATGCCATTGGTTCATGACATTTTATTCTTAGATATTGTGAAATTATTTATTTTCCGACATTTATTTCAAATATCATCAAATTAATGTCGTCGTATGTACATTTTCTTGTAGTGTCCCTTCATTGATTTTGATACCCTGTGCTCTTTTTCGGAGTGACATGTCGATATTAGTCCTTACCATGTCTGCAAAAACATCAAGAAAAAGTGAGTAACACTTCAAGCAAAATCATAGAATAACAGTTGCACACAGACTCCCCGAAAAAGTTAGTGAGTCGCCGAAGCACTTTGCCGAGTTAGATGGGGCTCGCTGAAAGGATTGGTCAAAATTCTTGAAAAAATTGGCATAATCGGAGATGGATGGGTCTTTCAGTAAATTTCCGACAGCTTTTAGCGAGCAAGATTAGCTCGCCGAAAGTTGCAGTGCAATTAAGGTTCAGGGGTGCAGACAAAGGGCGATGAAGAAGGAATTTTGATGAGTCACCCAATTCTTTCAACGACCTCAGGCATCTCATCGAAAGTTGTCCAATACAACTACTCATTAAGCATGAAATTAAAGGTGTACGAAACTTTGGTGAACCACTAAGAGGTTCGGCGAGCTCGACCAAGCTCACCAAGCGACCTAACATGCTTAATTTCAACCCAAACTTCTCGAATTCAACCCTACAACCCCCAAAAACAAAATCAAAACATGCACCCATCAAATTAAAGCAACACACAATATACATATTATACCCTGAGATACATAAACTTCTCCTAGTTTTGCTAAATTTATCTATTTGACGATTTTTGCCCTTAAGAATGATGTCACCGCTATATGATTGGGCAAATTACGTGATTTGGCACAAATACGTGTTACTTAAAATTCACCCAACTGGACTCAACAACATGCAATAACAACCCCACAATATATAACAAATTTTAAGGCACAGAGTAACGAGAATTAAACATTATAAATTCCACAGACATGATTTTTACATTAAAACAGACATATACTAAAAAAATTAAGACTAGAGAGGCCCAACACACATCATTAAGACAAGATCAATGCAAATTAGTACAAAAACATTAAAAATAGATTCGGCATTCAAAAAACCAACCTTATATGTCAATTAAAATACTTTATAATACTAGGAGGCAAAGTAATCCACTCCAACCACAAATCCAATGACTAAAACACTCTAAAATAAAAAAAGTACGTGAAGTAATATGCATGTGTGAGTTTAGAAAGATTAAAAGTAAGGAAAAGTGAGAGAGTTTGAAACTTTTGAACCTTTAGCCTTTAAAACCGTCAATTTCTCACCCATTCGACAACATTAGTCATGATTACCGACCCACTCGGCCATTTGTCAAGTTTTACAGGACCTCCAGTTATTGGGGGTCCAAACGGCGGATAAAGTCGTGATCACTGACCAAGTCAGCAATTTACCAATCAACTCATGTGCTCTCCGAGTTTTACAAAACCCAATTTCCAATTTTCTGGGGTCAAACGGAAGTTCAAGTCGAGCACGATGACCTCTTTTCGATGCACCGCCTGGAAATGTGTCTCAATTACCTGCACTTTTAAAACACTTTCCACACTTTGACCTGCACAATCAACACAACATTATTTCAACTAAAAAAGAAAGAAAATAAAAACTTGGGTGGCCTCCCAAGAAGGTACTAATTAACGTTGTGGCACGAGGCAAGTTCACTCTCAAACCTCATTCTTGGGGTTGGCCACAGTGTCACTAGGAATATTCCCCTACATGTCTTGGGTTTAAATAAGCAATATATGACCCATTTGGATCTCTAATTGGTTTATCGATACTGAGTGGGTGGTAACCATCTAGATAAGGGTCGACACATCTTCTTTCATTTTATTCAAAATCTTGTTATACGCCCAAATTTGTTGAGGATATGAGAAAGCATATCCTCAGACCAAACACCTTCTAAATCCTTTGGATTTTGGCACTCATGGGGAGGCACATACCTATCCTTCTCCCCATCCTCCCAATTTTGATTTCGGTCCCTCTATTCTGAATCACGATTCTTCCAACCTTCATCTCGGTTATAACCTTGGTTACTACCCTGCATCGGGTAGTTTGAATGATAACTACCACTTTGGTTGGGTAGGAAATTCACCTCTTCGCCATACAACGCCTCAAACTTTGCCTCATCAAGAGTATCATGCCCGACACTCAATACATTAAAACTTTGAGCACTAGCTCCTATTAGATTTTTGGACAAAATGTAAAGTAGTGTCATGATCTTTTCCATATTCTGGTCCCTCTCTAGGTCCTTCGCCAACTGTTCTTTGGTCAATATAAACGTGCGCTGGGAGAACTGATCTTCACGGGTGTACCATGCCCGGTTATGGTAAGCATGCCCTCCAAGAGGTGAGCCACTATCACATAAGGTTGCTGCATCAATTCTCCGAGATACAGTTGGTCAACAAAACCCTTGCTTACCGAATCAATGCTCCGATAAAAATACTAAAGCAACACATTATTACGCAAACCATGAGTTGGGCATCGAAGCACAAACGTCTTGAATCGCAGTCAATTTTTATGAATTGGCTCGCCCTCTAGACGCTTAAAACTCTAAATATTGTCCCGCAGATTCATCATCTTCGAAGGAAGGAAAAATCACACATGAATTGCGGTGAACAACTCCTCCCAAAAA